ACCCAGAAGTTATGTCTGGCATCCAATCTAAAGTTAGCAGAAATACAAAAAAGCAGGAAAATATATTAATATATACAAGATAACTGATTATTTAAAGTATAAATAGCAAAAAATGTATTGTCAGGGTTGTAAACTATGTAGAAATAAAATGTGTGACCACAATAACACAAAGAAGGGGAAAAGATGTGAGTATATTATTATAAGATTCTACATTGTCTGTTAAATGATGGAATACTGCTTGAAGGTAGACTGGGATAGTTAAAGATATACAGAATAAACACTAAAGCAATCATTGGCTAATAAGTCAATAAAGGAGATAAAATTGAATAATAAAAATGGGCAATTTCACCAAGGACAGAAGAAGGGAACAAACTACAGATGGAACAAATAGAAAGATGGAAGGGAAGACTTAAACACAACCATTTCAATAACAACATTAAATGCAAATAAAACCCACCATTTGTGAAATATGTAAAAGATGTAAAACAGGATAATGCATCCTGATAAACAAGTATGATTTATTCCAGGAATGAATGCAAGAATAGAAGGCTTCTGCCCTTTAAAATTAAATTAAAGCTTCATAACATACTGAGACTAAAAAAAAGAAAAACCATATGATCATATCAAAATGCATAGGAAAACCACCTGACAAAATCTAGTATTCCTTCCTAACAAAAATTCTCAGTAAGCTAAGAACAGAAAGAGTCTCTTTCAATTTGATAAAGGACATATGCAAAATTTATGATTAACATCATAACAGTGAAAGACTAAATGCTTTTCCCCTCAGAAAAGGGGAACAGAAACAAGGGAAGGATGTTCATTCTAATCCATTCTAATCAAAATCGTACTTTAGGTTCTAGTCAGTATAACAGTTGAGAAAAAGAAATACAAGGCGTCCAGATTGGAAAAGAAGATGTAAAACAGGATAATTGTCTATGTAGAAACTCTAAAAGAAACTACCAAAAAGCTATGAAAACTAATAAATGAGTTTAACAAGGCTGCAAGATTGAAAATCCATATAAAAAATCAACTGTATTTCTACATTAATGCAAAAATAAGAAGTTGAAATTTAAAAAACAATGTCATTTATAACTTCTTAGTGATAAATCTGACAAAAGATATATGAGATCTATGCATTGAAAACTCTAAAAAGAGAAAAAAATAAAGTATCAATATTAAGATTTCAATTATCCCCAAATTGATCTATAATATTCTACATGATCCCAGTCAAAATCCCATCAGGCATTTTTAAAAAAAGAAGCTGACAAGGTATTTCTAAAATTCACATGGAAAAACAAAGAACTAAGAATAATCAAAACAAAGAACTAAGAATTGCCAAAACAAAGTTGAAAGGAAGAATAAGGTTCAAAGCCACTGTAACCTGACTTCAAGACTTATAAAGCTATGGCAACCAAGACAGTGCTATTGGCATCAAGAGGCACCAGAGTTTCTCAATCTCAGTACTACAGACATTTTGGGCCAGACAATTCTTTGTTATGGGGCTATCCTGTGCATAGTACAAGGTTGAAGAGAAGCTCTGGCTTCTGTCAGAAATCAACAATATCTCCCTAGCTGACAATTTAAACCATCTCCAGGCTTTGCCCCATGGTTTTTAGAGGCAAAACTGCCCAGGTTGAGACCACGGAGATAGATAATAAATCAATGAAAAAGAACAGAGTCCTGAAAATTCACCCAAATGTATGTGATTAGTGTATTTTTCATCAATGGTATAAATTTAATTCAATGGAAAAATACAGTCTTTATGGTACTAAAACAATTGGATAGTCATATGCCAAAAATAGTCTTGTACTACGTATGTATATAAAAAGTAACTCAAAATAGATCATGCACCTAAATGTAAATTCAAAATTATAAAATTTCTTAAATGAAAACTCTGGAGAAAATCCAACCTTGGGTTAGGCAAAAGTCTTTTAGATACAACACAGAATTATGATCCATAAAGGGGGTGAAAAAAGGCACACTGGACTTAATCACAATAAGAATGTCTGTTCTTCTGCTCTTTGAAAGATTCTGTTAGGAAGGTGAAAAGATAAGCTACAGATCAGGTGAAAATTCTTGTAAATAACATTTCTAAAATGGACTTTTATCTAGAATATACTTTTTAAGCCTCTATAAGAATAAAACAATTCCATTTAAAAATGAGGTAAAGACTTAAACAGACACTTCACTAAAGAAGATATACAGATGGCAAATAACTCACGAAAAGATGTTTAACAGCACTGGTGATCGTAGAAATGGAAGTTAAAGCTACAATGAGATACTACTAGACAACTACACAGCATCATAATATGCCTACAATATCAAAAGCCTGTCCATACCAAGCATTGACTAGAACTCTCTTACACTCTTGACAGGAATGTAAAGGGGTACAATCACTTTGGAAAAATCATTTAAGAGTTTCCTAAAAAGTTAAATATATACCTAGCATATGACCCAGCTATTCCTCTGCTAGATATTACTTAAGAGAAATGAAACCATATATTCATACAAAGACTTTTATATAAATGTTCGTAGCAGCTTTATTTGTAATAGTCAAGAACTGTAAACAACCTAGCTGTACATCGACAGGTAAGTGGAAAAACAAATTATGGTATATTCATACATCCTGTGACACAGGATGAATCTGAAAATAACTATGCTGAGTGACAAAAGTCAGATAAAAAAAGGTTCATGTTATATAATTTGTATAAAATTATAGACAAAACAAATTGATCTCTGGTGACAGAAAGCAAATCAGTAGTTGTTTGGGGATGGTGACATGTGAGTGGAAAGCAGGGAGAAGGAGGGATGGATTACTAAGAGGCATTAGGAATCTTCTGGAGGTGATGTATACATTTATCAAAACTTACTAAATCATATACTTTAAATATGTACAGCTTACTGTATATCAATTATACCTCAATAAAAATATTTTTTTTAAATCTCTGCTGGTATCTGATTCCTACTCTGTACTATGGTTTTAGAATTCTTTATTTTCTTAATTGAGATATGACTGACACATAACATTAAGTTTAAGGTATACAATATGTCAATTAGGTAACTTTTATTTTGCAATATAATTACCTCCATAGTGTTAATTAACATCACTATCATGCCACATAATTATTCTTTTTGTGGTAAGAACAATTTAGATATAGTGTCTGAGCAACTTTGAATTTTACAATGCAGTATCATTGACTACAATTACCATGCCGTACATTAGAATTCCAGGATGTATTTACTAATCCCAAGTTTGTACCCATATAATATTTTCAAAGGTTCTCAATATTAACAATACAATTTAATTATTTTTCTCATGATTCAGAATTAGAATCCCTTAGGGGCACCTGGGTGGATCAGTTGGTTAAATGTCCAACTTTGGCTGAGGTCGTAATTTTCCAGTTTGTGAGTTTGAGCCCCAAATCAGGCACTGTACTGGCAGCTTCAGATTCTGTGTCTCCCTCTCTCTCTGCCCTTCCCTGCTCGCGCGCTGTCTCTGTCTCTCAAAAATGAATAAACATTAAAAAAGGGTTTTTTAAAATTTAGAATCCCTTAGCAAATTTTTCTTTCTGATTTATTCCTGAAGTTTTAAGAATTCAATCAGCAATGAATATTTGTATTTCACGACAGTATTCATAGCTAACATGTATGTGGTAAAATTACACTAAGGCTTTGCCATTACAGCTAAGTTAATTAAGCAGAATTATGTACTTAGATATTAAAGCCATACACCAATCAAGTAGTATAAAGCCTAAATCAGCTGATAGGAAATAGTTAATACAGTGCCCCTTCTGGAGAGTCAGATTTTCTATGGTCCCATAAAATAGGGAGGAATAAAGCAAAAGCACCAAAGAGGAAAAACATTAATGATCCCTCCTTTTAAAATCACATACTTCTGTCATTATGCCAAAAATATAAAGCTGTACTTGAAGATGTCCCAGTGCCAAGATGTAGAAAAAAGAATTACTCATACCTTATTACAGGCATTGTTTTAAAATGTTGATGGTTGGCTGAGATGAGAGTACTAAATGTGTATATATCCCTAAATGTAATGATAATAGGAGTTACTGGTAGTTATGCTGAAAAACTTACAGGTTCCAAATTGAACATGAATCTCTAGCCAAAGTTCTCAGGTAATTAAGATGTTTATTTACCATCTTAAAGATGAACAAAACTACAACTATCCCCAGAAAAAGTATAAAAAGAAAACTAACAAGTTTAAGAAAAAAATAACACAGGATTCTTTTAATGAAAAAAATTACATTATAACAAAGACACTATACATTGTTACAATATATATACACACAGTTTAAAACTGGTACAAATTAAATGACAACTTTCTCATACTCACATGATTAAGTATGTATTTTGACAGGATATGAAAGATGAAACACAAGCTGGTGGGCCTCAAAACTGGAAACTCTAATACAGGACCAGATCCCATTTTCTATCATTTTTGTGACTTTTAGAAAACATTTACCTTGGATAAGACAAGGTACTTCATATAAAAGCTTTTTCTTTTAAGCATGTTAACTGCTTATGGAGAAAATTATTATTGAGGGAAAAGCCCACCATGGTGGTGTTTATCTCTGATTCACTGTAGCATATATAAAATTCACTGGGAGGCTTTGGAACATGAAAAATACAATGATGAAAAAAGCTCAACTATAATTATGAATTTATAACTGCCCAACTTACTACTACAGATATTACACCTTATAATACATGACAGAAAAGAGCATATATCAAACTTTGCTGTAGAGCTGTTAGGAGAATGCCAAATATAGATAGTGAAAATTTTATGCACTTGTATTTAATACCCTATGCATTTAAAAAATAATCAAATATTTAAAATATGTAAACACACTTTTATAAAAGCGATGCTAAGCACCTTTAAAATACAATACTGATATATTGTGACTAAACATGCATTTAGAGGACAAATGAATTTTTAAAAATTTAGAAACCATTTTTAAAGAGCTACTCATTAAAATACTTACATGAAAATATTGATAGTTCCAGTTTCTACCTAAAAACCAAAAGAGTATACAATTAGGGATTTAAACCTTCCTTCATGCTCTTTTTTAATTTTGTTTTTTGTTTGTAGGGAGGATGCACTGTAACTTTCATCCTCCTAATAAAAAAGAAAACAGTACCAGAAAGAGACATTCACATAGAATGAAGTGAGAGAAATATTTTTAAACTATATTTTGTTCTTGTTCAAATGCCAAAATCTGAATCCTCTAACGTCTCTCATCCTCACAGGTAACTGACAAGAGTTTGTATCTTAAGAAGCATTTCTCCTTAGCAACTCAACATCAAAAAAGAAAAGAATGTCTCCAAAGGAATATAGTTCAATTGGTAAAATATTTAATAATAAGCTACTGCCATTAATGAAAAGTGAAGATTATTCAAAAACTTGAAAAAAGTTTCCATAAAAATTAGAAATAACAAATGAAAAGAATATTACCTACAAATGCAATAAAACTATAAATTTCAGACTTCTACCCTTTGAGTACACACAGACTACAAGAAAGCTGGGTTTAACTAAGAGCTGTGTTTAACTTAGAGTGACGTAATCAGATTTGGCAGCCTACCTCTGAAATGCTGATATCAAATATTTTCAATTCTTAGGAAAAAGAAAAGCTATTCTAGTTAAAAATCATATATGCAACTAAACATCAACTTTGTATTAAATAGGGGTATAAATAATAAATTTTATATTAAATAGGGTATAAATCTAAAGAGTAAGGATTTTTAGAGTTCCATTCACTTCTAATTTAACAATGCTTTACTTAGGCACATGCTGTGTACTTGCAACAATTAAAGTGAATTAAGAATAGGAGACTGGATTTTAGAAAAGCCAAAAATGATTCAGTCATGTAAAATATTAAGGTTAAATTTCATATTATATTCTGTATACTTTGAATATAAACATTAATATCCATCTGAAATCCTATTACTTTTAAATAGTCTTAAATAAACCCACAACCGGTCCCTGGGGTGAAAAAAGCCTTTAAATTGATCTCTTGACAGCTTATAATTGACATTTCTAGTTTACCAACCTTTCAGAAAACAGAAGCTTATAATGAATATAGTGATTAGTACTTATTCAGTATTTCAAGTAAATATACTTACTCACCAAGCAAATATAACACATCAGTTGTTTTAAAGTTTTAAATATGAGCTAAATTTTAAACTACAAATACTTACCTTGGAAATATTATAAATTCTAATACCACTAATTCAGTAAGAGCTCTGGCATAGAAAAATAAATACAACTCAAATTATTTTCTAACCAGAGCTGAATCTTCAATAGAAAATAGGAAAAAAAAAAATCTGTGGATATCAAAAAGTTCCTCAAATTATCTGTACACACCAGGGAAGTTTATTATTCTTTCTGAATTCTCTCAATTTCTGCATTTTTCTATCCACAAGTAGTGCTTTACCTACAATACTATATAAATCCATGCAATATACATTTATTTCTGTTGCTTATCTGGTCAATTCAAATTAAAACTCTAAGTACTTACCAAGAAATTTAAAATTTCTACTAGATAACTATTAGTATGCTATTGGTTTGTAGTTATAAGTATAAAAATTATAATGGAAAAAGCCAAAATGCAACTACAGTTTCCACAGATGTGAATGCTGGGCTTTACGTTATGTAAAATCTACTATTGTTTTATCTTTCCTAATGAGACAGACTACAAATATTCTCTCCCCTGTGCTAATTTAAAGAAATTCTTCACAACTTTAAAGAGGAAATAATTTCTTTTATAACTTTAAAAAAAGTCAGCACACACACACACACTCACACACACACAAATTCACACACTATTTTTGTTGTTCTTTTTTCTTTTTTTTCAGAACCCAAATCAGATATTTCCAAGGGATTAGTTAGATAACTATTTGCGTTCAGACTATTTTGTCATGGATAAGTTCAGATGATCTTCTGAAATACTGGCCTTATCAGATAATCAAAAAGCATAAAAATTATACAAAATAAGAGGAATAAGATAGGTTCCAAAAATATGGACTTGGCAACAAACATATCGGTTTTAAATCAAAGTTGCTCATTGAACCGGTCTTCAGTTCACTTATCACAATGCTGCGCTTTGACAATATTCACCTTCTTTTTTATGACATTGTAAGTCACCCAAGTTGTAAATCCTGTAAAGCTTCAATAATTTATGTAGTAGATAATTTCTTACAGTCCAAAATTTTTTTTGCTTCCATAGACAATGCTGGTTCTTTGGGTTCTTGCTTAACTTGGTTCACAGAAATGGTACCTTCTGGATTTTCTTCAACTTTAAAACCAAACATAAAAGAAAAACCCTAAAGGTTAATGTAACTTATAACACTGGAATCGTTATATGAATTTAGAGGCAAAGCAAAAAACAGTAGTTTTCTGAAAAGCAGTCAGTGTATTTGAGAACTCAGTACTTCTGATATCTTAATAGTTATTCATAGTAATTCTTGCAGTATACGTACACCTTAAATTAATGTAACACTGTGTGCCAACTAAACTTCCATAGAAAAAACTAAAAGGAAAAGAACAGAAAATTAAATGTTGAGAAGTTAAAAAAAATTCTTTTAGTATTCTTCTGGTAATGAAAAAAAGAAGAGACTAAGAAAATTATAGTTATTTTCCTCTAAAGATACTTTGACAAAAAGCAGTCCATAATTTGATAAAATTATGAGGAATATCTCATATTTAAACTTAATTGTCTTTGGGGTACATGGGTAACTTAGTAGTTAAGTGTTGAACTTTTGCTTAGGTTACAATCTCTTGGTTAGTGAGTTTGAGCCCCACAACAAGCTTTGCACCAGCAGTGTGGAGTCTGCTTGGGATCCTCTCTCTCTCTCTCTCTCTCTCTCTCTGCTCCCCTCCTATTCACACTTTCTCTATCTCTCAGAATAAATAAATAAATTTAAAAAAAATAAAAAAAATTTAAAAACTTAATTGCCTTTAATGAATATATGTGTGAATAAAAGTCAGGAAGCCTCTCATTACTTGAAAATGATGTTTTGCAAACCGCAAAATTTACCAATTTGTTACCACCCCCATATGGTTTCCATATGTGGTCATATATCAAGAATAATGTTCTCTCGCTAAAGAAACTCAACTACATTAAGTACTTTAGAAAAAATATGCCACATCTTAATGGATAGCTCTGACTTACGTGCATAAACCGTGTTTGCTTATTTGAAACATTGCATAATGCACTTACCATTCTGATTTTAAAGTACTTATGACCAAATTAATAGAAAGGTAGCATATCAGAAATACTATCTTGAACAGGCAGGTGGGATATCGAAGATGAAATCTTTTTCTTTTTTTAGGGATATCAGTTTTTCAATTGCTATAGGGAACTGAGATTAAGGGGACCAATATTTGCCCTGGAAAGTGTGTTGAACACACCTGATGCTTATCACATATGGGTATGTTGAGAGAGTTTAGCCCACACCATAGAGAAAACCAATAGAAGATGGATTTGAGTGACCCTGAGAATTCATATTAAGGTGAGAAAGTCCCTCAGATCATGATCTAACTAGATAAATCATGCAGGTTCAGATCCAAAGAGGGTCTCCTTTAAAGCAATCTGAATCAGAGCTCTCAGAAATATGTTGGTACAACACAGAGGGAGGACGCATGTTAGAGTGGAAACAAACTTTGGAGGCAGATATATCTGGATTTAAATCCCTGTTCTATCACTTTAGGCAATTACTTAACCTCCCTGAGGAGGGCTTGGTCTCCCTATCTGTAGCATGGGGACATCATCAACTATTTCATGGGGTTGTGAGGATTAGTTCACATATATTCTTTATCCTTCTCTTCTATTGTTACAGCCCTCTGGATAAATTTTCTTAAAAGTAATGTTTCCAATAAATTTAAAAGATATGTATTCTTTTTCAGAAGGAACTATCTTACACTTTTCCTTACCCAGAAGAATGATGACTAAGAATGGAGGGTAAATACTTTGTATGTTCTAAGATAATTTCTATGAAAACTTATCTTCTTCAAAGCAAACCGTAAATATTTTCCCATAAAAGTGCCCAATCCAGAACAATCTGTGTGAATGGAAGTGAAACAGGTCAAGTAGGAGTTAGAATTTATTACTAGGTTGACTGGGTTTGTTACAAAGTGAAATAACAAGGTCTTGGATTCAGTCAAGTCCCCAAGTCTTAACTAATTCCCTTTCAATTTCTAAAGAACTCAATATTTAAGTCTAGAACTCAAAGTTTTTAACATTTTATAGCTGCCCACTTCATCCCATTTTTCCTTTTAACAAATTTTCCATAATAATATTTACGTTAAATGTTTTCCTTTCAAAGTTTCTCATATTTTCATGCATTCTAAAATGACCCTTTGATTTCATATCACCACAGATTTTCCACGTAAACTGAGGTAGAGAACGAATAATTTTGCTAGAGAAGAAAAAAACTTTAAAGTTTAAAAGTTATGCTCTTGACATTTTTCCCTTTTTCTGGTAGTTTTACTTTATTGATTTATATATTTTAAACCCCTGAGTAGAAATGATAGTTTTTTTCTGTAGTGTAATAGTAATGACACAATAATTGATATTACTCAGCAATCAAAAAGAATGAAATCTTGCCATTTGCAACAATGTGGATAGAACTCTAGTGCATTTTGCTAAGCAAAATAAGTCAGAGAAAGACAAAAATCATATGATGTCACTCATATGTGGAATTTAGAAAAACATAACAGATGAACACAGGGGAAGGGAAGGAAAAATAAGATAAAAACAGAGAGGGAGGAAAACCGTAAGAGAATCTTAAACACAGAGAACAAACTGAGGGTTGCTGGAAGGGAGGTAGGTGGGAGGATGGGCTAAATGCATGATGGGCATTAAGGATGGTACTTACTGGGGTGAGCACTGGGTGTTATATGGAAGTGATGAATCACTGGATTCTACTTCTGAAACCAAAACTATACTATATGTTAACTAACTGGAATTGAAATTTAAAAAAATAGTGCTGGTAGTCCATGAAGGCTAAAAAAAATAAAATCACAAGTTGCTTTTAACTTACTAATAGCTGGGTGGTTATCTATAATTTGTATTGGGATGGTCTGCACATTTCCCAACAGAATCCGATGAACACTTCCTTCCATATTCTCTGTATCCTCAACATCTCCAACTTGCACCAGTTGGTCCACTGCAGCCAGATTTTGATCTGATCCTGGAAGGTTACCCATGGTAGAGGTAATAATGCTATTGTTTGGGGTCAGGCATGTATCTGCTTGAAGGCTATGACTTTGACCAAGCAGTAGAGAATTATTATTCATTACAGTACTTTCTAATGAATCCAGAAGTCTTGAAGGACTGGAGGAAGGGTGGTTATTTACTGATATCAGAGTTGGTGATCCATCAGGAGAAGTGAATCTTGGTTGCAACTGCAAACCCTTTTAAACCGAAAAGAGTTACATCAAAATGTTTAAATTTACAAGTATGATTTTTTTTCATAGGATACATTATTCTTTAGACACATAATTCAAATAAAATATAATGGTGTAGTTAGTAACAAATATTGAGAACAGAAACAGGAATCAAAAGAATAGTAGTACAACTAAATTTTACTGCATGCATAGTCAACTCCAATATTTTCAAATTGTATTGTTTAAATTATCTTATATCAAAATACAGAAAAGTCAAGAAATTAATAATAAAAACATCTTTAATCATTATCATAATTCTATAACATGTCTACTAAATATCTAGAAAAGGAGAGGTTGAGGAAGAAAGGGAAAGGCTTCAAATTTGTCTATTTCACTAGCTACCTACCTGCAGTTGAGTAAATAATTTTGGCTGAAATGAGGAAAGTGAAGAGAGCAAGTGGGCTGGCTCTGGAGACAAAGAACCCCTTGTCTGATTTGTTTCCACTTTGGTGCTAATTGATTCTCCTGGTGAATTTCCTAAGTTATATATAAAAAAATAAGCCATCAAAACAAAATAACATGTATGGCTTCTAGCATACTACATTTTATTACAACACTCTCACAATTGGAATAGGAAATGAAGTCAAAGGTTTGAAAAAGACTTTAAGAAGTTATTTTTTCCACTAAAAAAAGAAGTTATATTGTTCACTATTTCCAGAAACTGTTAGAATCAGAATCACTAAGGAACTTTTTAAAAATATAAATTCCTAGGTTCAACCTCCATAGTTTTTAATTCAGTATATCTAGGATGTAATATAGGAAACAGTATTTTTTTTCCTTGAAAGGTTCTCTATCTGTAACTATAATCTAGCCCATTTTCCATGCTATGATGCTGAACTATACCTTAAACTTCTCTAGATGTGTGAAACCTACTGAACCTCTCAGTTACAAAGACCAAACTTAATTCATCTTTGGTAGCCCTAGTGCCTGGATAATGCCTGACATAAAGTGGGTCCTCAATAACAGTATTAAATTTCAATAATTCATTTTGGAATAAATGAGTAAGAGTACAAATCTCTCTGTTTTCTTAATACCTCAATTGCTAAAGTAATTGTCCTTAGGAAATATAGTTCCTCTCATGTAATTTTTATGTATTTGTTTTGTATATACTTTGTTTTTTTTTAATTTAATTTAATTTTATTTTTTTCTTACAAATAGCTTATTGTTAGGTTGGTTACCATATAACACCCAGTGCTCATCCCCACAAGTACCCTCCTCCATGCCCATCTCCCCCCTCCCCCCCACATCCATCAGTCCTCAGTTTGTTTCTCAGCATTCAAGAGTCTCTCATGGTTTGCCTCTCTCCCTTTCCCCCACCATTTCCCCCCTTCTTCTCCCCCATGGTCCTCAGTTAAGTTCCCCATACTTAGTTAAGTTAACCTCAGTTAAGTTCCTCCTATATGTGCAAACATATGATATTTGTCCTTCTCTGCCTGTAATTTTTATGTATTAACCCAAATAAATTTATCTCCTTAAGTTAATCAAAAACCATTTATCAGCAACTGTTTATTGTTTCCATGCAATAAATAAGTAATTTTTTTAAGTGGCCCTAATGTCAAACAAGGATGGATTCAATCAAGCACTAGCTTTTCTCTGTAACATGCTACTTAATTCAGTTTCTAAACTTCAGTTTCTTCATCTGTAAAATAAGGATAGCAAAAGACTCTTCCTCAAAGGAATGTTAATAGGATTAAACAATACTCTCATGTTTCTTAGCTTCTTCATTTCCTTTTTTTTTTTTTATTGAAGTATAGTTGATGCATATTGTTAACATTAGTTTCAGGTGCAAAATATAGTGACTGAATAAGTTTAGCTATTGGGCTATGCTCACCCCAAATGTAGCTACCATCTGTCACCATACAATGCCATTACAGTACCAATGACTATATTCCCTTTTATCCTCGTGACTTGTTTATTCCAGAACTGGAAGCCTCTATTCTCCACTCCCCTTCACCCATTATGCCCATCCCTGTACCACCCTCTCCCTGGCAACCATCAGTTTGTTCTCTGTGTATCTATGTCTGTTTCTGCTTTTCATTTGTTTGGTTTTTTTGGTTTCAGATTCCACATACAAATGAAATCACATGGTATTTGTCTTTCTCTGTCTGATTTATTTCATTTTTTGGCTTCTTCGTTTCTAATTGTCCTTCCATTACACTCTACTTTACTACTGTCATACCCACTACTATTGTCATAACCTCGACTATTCTATATCTAAAAATCTCTAATTCAAATATCCCATTCTTTGATCACAGACTCTTATTTTTCCAAGGATTTTGTTCAAGTACTTCACTACAATTGTTGTTCAGCCTCATGTGATCCTCCAGTCCATTAATTTCTCAGTTTTCTTCAGATCAACCTCTTCCTTAATAAAACTGTCTCCCTATTCAGCTTAGTACTAGAGTCTTAGGTTTATAATTTCAGTCACTCCCTTACAAACACCCTAAACTCCCTTGCCTCTCTGCACTTTTGTTATAACCTCTGATAAAATCCTAACATTGAGTGAAAATGGCTTCCAGTGCCTATATGCATGAAGCTGAATGCCACTGGAAAAGAAACTTGCTACTACTACTAATACCAATTCATGATCATTAACTTCAACAGGACCTTCACCTGTACTGACAACATTACAATGTTCCTCTCACTCTATATTATGGATGATTTCAAATGTCCAATCTTGGCCACACTTCCTGAGATCTTTTTCATTCTTAGCACTTTTACTTAAGGAGAAAAGAGAAACTATCAGATAGAAATTTCCTCAACTTCCCATCACCAAAGCTATCAAGTACCTCCATCTTCATCTATCTCTTCAGACATCTCCTATCTGAAAATACCTTTCTTCAACTTCATATTTCCTTCATAGCACATTGCCTCTACTTCTTCATTCATTACCCATTCATTTTTCAACCATCCCAAGATGGCTTCTTCCTAATCCACTCCACTGAAATGGCTCTGATACCCAAGGTTTTCAAACCTGATCTCATGAATTTTTTTCTCTTTCCCTACCACCACCAAATCCTATTCTTATGCCAGTGTTCCCTACCTCAGTAAATGCTACTATCAATCAGTTGCTCTTGGAAGAAACTCAGGAGTCATCCCAGATCATTCCCATTCTTTTACCTCTCATACCTTTTGAATTCTACTTTTTAAAAAACTCTTAAAAAATCTGTCTATTTATAGTATAAATGCCACCAACTGTAGACCAAACTACTATCACTTTTCATTTGGACATCTTGAAAGGGCTTCCTAAACCCATTTTCATACCTAGATTTATCTCCAAGCATTGTCTATGCTTAAAACCATACCGGCTTTCTTAAGTTCCTTGAACACGACCAAGCTCCTTGTTGCTTAGCTTTCAAACACACTATTCCTATCCATTATTCAATTCTTAGTTTATTTATTATTTTTTAAAGATTTTTAATGTTTATTTTTGAGAGAAACAGAGAGAGGCAGTGTGGGAGCAGAGGAGGGACAGAGAGAGGGAGACACAGAATCCAAAGTAGGCTCCAGGCTCTGAGCTGTCAGCACAGAGCCTGATGAGGGGCTCAAATTCATGACACTGAGCCACCCAGGTGCCCCTTTAGTTCTTAGTTTAAAAGCCACTTCCCTGGGGTGCCTGGGTGGCTCAGCCCGTTGAGCATCCAACTTCGACTCAGGTCATGATCTCGCGGTTCGTGGGGTCAGGCCCCATGTTGGGCTCTGTGCTGACAGCTTGCTCAGAGCCTGGAGCCTGCTTCAGATTCGGTGTCACCTTCTCTCTCTGCCCCTCCCCTGTTCATGCTCTACCTCTCTCTGTCTCTCAATTATAAATACATGTAAAAAACATTTTTTTAAATAAAAATAAAAAATAAAAGCCACTTCCCTACTCTCTAGATTAAGCTATATATCTCTATCATGATTCCCACAAAATTTTGTACAACTCTCTCATGGCACTATTCATAACTGTAATTAGAATATATTTGTTTATAGTGTCTTTTTCTCTTGCTAAACTTGAAATTCAGTGGAGCAAGAAATTTGTTCTTTTTTATGTCCAGCAATTACCACAGTGAGGAAAATATGTGCAAAACAAATGAATAATGTTAAGGAATTTGAAAATTATTCTCTATACACAGACTCTCATAAAGATTATCAGTCAAAGAATAAAGAAAAAATTGTACTGTATATGGTTATTCATTAATTTATTCTAAAACATTTATTTAGATGTTAGCTTTGTAGCAGGCATTATGCCAGGAACTAGGTATGTCAACTTGAATAAAATACAAACTTTGTTCCTGAGGAGCTCAAATCATAATGAAAGCTACTGACCTATAAATTAAAGGACACCATGCTAAATGCAGAGGTAAGTACAAAAGAGTGAATGTCTAACTTTATATAGGGGGTGAAGTTAAGAGAGTACTTAAAACCAAAGAGATTGATTTGGTTAGTGAGAGAGGTTTGCCATATAGAAGCAGAAAAAACACATTTTCAGAAGAGAAAAGAAAAAGGTGAAATAAATTTGGACTAGTAAGAGAATATAAGAGTAACACGTATGAGAAAAAACAAACCATACAAAATGGACAATAGTTTTCTGATCAAAGTATCTTAGGGTTATTACTACTGGAATTAGTCTAACTTTATAGTAAACCGTACTAGTCAACAGCCTCAAAATTTTAATCATAAAGAATAAAAGCTGATTATGTGAGGATATTTTTTTTTACTTTTTTATAATTCTACACCCAATGTGGGGCTCAAACTCACAATCCACAATCAAGAGTCACATGCTCTTCCAACTAAGCCAACCAGGCAGCCTTTATTTTTTATTTTTAATTTGTTTGAGTATAGTTGACACACAATGTTACAATAGTTCCAGGTGTATTAACACAGTGATTCAACTTCTCTATATGTTATGTTATGCTCACAAGTGTAGCTATCATTCGTCAACATACAATGCTATTACAACATTATTGATTATATTCCTTAAGCTGTGCTTTTTATTCTCATGACTTATTTATTCCATAACTAGAAGCCTGTTATCTCCCATTCCTCCTCACCCATTTTGCCCATTACCTTACCATGCCTCCCCTCTGGCAACTATCAGTTTGTTCTCTGTATTTTTAAGTCTGATTCTGCTTTTTGTTTATTTATTTGTTTTGGTTTTAGATCCCACATATGATGAAATCATATATTTGTCTTACTCAGTTTGATTTATTTTATTTAGCATAATACCCTCTAGGTCCATCCATGTTGTCACAGAAGACAACATCTCATCCTTTTTTATGGCTGAATGACATATATAAGGAAGCTTTGACAAAATCTAACATAGTTGCTCTTATCTGTTTGGCCTAGTTTCCTCATCCAAAAAATTTGATTAGATATTATAAATGTCTTCCAGTTTGGGGGTGCCTAGGTGACTTAGTTAAGTGTCTGACTCTTGATTTTGGCTCAGGTTATGATCTCAGAGTTTGTGGGTTCAAGCCCCATGTCGGGCTCTGTGCTGATACCACAGAGCCTGCTTCGAATGCTTTATTTCCCTCTCTGTCTGCCCCTCTCCCTCTCATGCTTTCCCTCTCTCTCAAAATAAACATTTTTTAAGAATTGAAAAAATATTCCTTAGGAAACTAACAATAGAACTCCCCTATGACCCAGCAATAGCACTGCTAGGAATTTACCCAAGGGATACAGAAATGCTGAGGCATAGGAGCACATGTACCCCAATGTTCATAGCAGCACTCTCCACAATAGCTAAAACATGGAAAGAGCCTAAGTGTCCATCAACAGATGAATGGATCAAGAAGATGTGGTTTATCTATACCATGGAATACTACATGGCAATGAGAAACAATGAAATCTGGCCATGTGTAGCAACATGGATGGACCTTGAGGGTGTTATGCTGAGCGAAATAAGTCAGGCAGAGAAGGACAAATATCATATGTTTGCACATATAGGAGGATTAGGAGGAACTTGACGGAGGAACGAGGGGGAGAAGAAGGGCGGAAATGGTGGGGGAAAGGGAGAGAGGCAAACCATGAGAGACTCTTGAATGCTGACAAAAACTGAGGACTGATGGATGTGTGGATGTGGGGGGGAGGGGGGGATGGGCATAGAGGAGGACACTTATGGGGATGAGCACTGGGTGTTATGTGGAAACTAATTTGACAATACACTATTTGTAAAAAAAAAAAAAAAAAAAAAAAAAAAAGAATTGAAAAAATAGGGGCGCCTGGGTGGCTCAGTTGGTTAGGCGTCCGACTTTTGCTTAGGTCATGATCTCACGTTCATGGGTTCGAGCCCCGCGTCAGGCTCTGTGCTGACTGCCAGCTCAGAGCCTGGAGCCTCTTTCAGATTCTGTGTCTCCCTCTCTCTGACCCTCCCCTGCTCACGCTGTCTCTCTCTCTCTCTCCTAGAAATAAATAAAAATATTAAAAAAAAAAGAATTGAAAAAATAAAAGTTCTCCCATTTTAACACTGATTTTATATTTTAAAGATATTCAGGATAACTCACCTTCTGCAAATGTAACTGTCACAGTCTCTCTGAGAATATGCCCATTATCTGTAGTCCATTGAAGCTGAAATGGAAACATTTACTTCAGTAAAAACAATAAATTATATTGCAAAATATTTTAAAACATCAATACGTCATATTTTATTCAATGATAGTATAATTGTGTTTTATTCAGTGATTACTCTCTTCACTTGTTTACATTCTTGAAGCATGAGTATACTTCATTATTGAAATACATAAGCTTCCTAAGTTCAGATAGCAAGAATTTGGATAGCAAGCACAGATGGCAAAGATCATTACTAAACAAATCCATTTTATTTCCTAAACTGCAGATGGTGTATAATTAAGTTTTCGATGGAAAAGAATAGTAGCACTAGCTAAAATTTAAAATCTATTCAGTTAAGAAGACATAATTTGGATAGTAAAAATATGGAGAGCAAAAGGTATTGTTACTAGGATTTTAATGCCATGATTGCTATCTATAATATAATTAGTTTTTGAGTAATTATATTATTCCTTTCAGAGTAAGCAAAATTTTCACAGAAATGACCAATATTCAGGGAAAATTAAAGCATCACATTATGATGTAAAATTAATATCCATAGATGGCATACAGAACCAATATCATCCCTTTGTGGATACAAAAAAATGCTGTGTATTCAAGTCTGAACTATTGTATTGAAATTTGTCAACCTATATAAAAAGAGATGGATAAATAAACAGTATACACTCAATAAATATCTGTTAGATGAATAAAATACACTTTTTACAGAGATAAAATATGTTGATTTTTAAATGAAGATTACTATTGTTGTTATAGTCAGAGCTGGATATTCACTGATATTTATTCTTGTAACAGTAATGTAAAAATTTAAGTCAAATAATCATCTGAGGGTTCATAGTGTTTACATTTTAAGAAAAAGATACTGTTTTTCTTTCATCACAATCATTTATATGGCTTATTAACCACCCCTGTACAGCCAACTAGTAATAGAAGTTGAGAAAGATTCTATAATAAAACAAAGAATTATAGTTATAATCATACCGTTGCTGGAATAATCTCTGAGTTATAGACATTATCTCCATTTCTCAACGATTTCTGTACCTCATGGATGTGATTTTTAATATCATTTACAGTTGGAAAAAAGGATAAATTATGTCTTTCAGGTACCTCATCAGGTTTAAACAGTTCTCTTTCCACAAATTTTCTGTGGAGAGCATAAAACAGAATAAAAACATAAATCATCTAGCAATATACTTCAGATAAAATGAGAAAAAGGTTCTTTTTTAGCATAAACTTCTATAAAGCAGAAGCTTTATTGTTTTATAATTTCTATTTTTCCAGTTTTAATTTTTTCTATACAATAAGCCAAAGAAATCAAGCAGATTAAAAAAAGTAATATTTTCACTAAATACCTGTATATCTTAGAGTGAGATATTTTTGACATTTTTATGAAATTTTAAATGAATCACTATTTTCAGTTTAGGCATAATATGGTTTGAATGCTAACTATGCCAAGCAATGTACTAAACACTTGACATCAAGGATCTCCTTTACTGCTTACTATAATCCTGTGAAGTAAGTGCAATTATAATTCTCACTTTAAAGACGAGGGACCTGAGGGCTGCTGACATTAAATAATTTGCCACAGCTATAAATCTAGCTAGTAAGGAAGAGAGCTTAGGCCTACATCATGTTACACTATTGCCAAAAGGCATCACTTACTATATGAAATGTGATCTGCTCCAATTTTATAAGTAGGTAAAAGACAGTATAGAAATAGAAGACAGCACTGACACATAAATGTATACAAATACATAAAAGAAATGCTAAAGTCCAGTATTTATATGCTTCATGCATTACATTCTGCAGACCATACTGCAGAATGTATTATACCTCTGTTCTTAAGATTCAAGTTTCGTAAATAATGTATGGCTTTACCAAATTTGGGGTCTGTTCTAACAATGCCCCAATGAAAATGAATATAAAATGTCTAAGAAAGCTGCTAAATAGGAAAATCATGTATTAGTTAAGAAATAATCCTAGGATATGGAGAAACGGGCACCTTCTTACACTGTTGGTGGGAATGTAAACTGGTGCAGCCCCTCTGGAAAACAGTGTGGAGGTTCCTCAAAAAATTAACAATAGAACTCTCCTATGACCCAGCAATAGCACTGCTAGGAATTTACCCAAGGGAGACAGGAGTGCTGATGCATAGGGGCACATGGACCCCAATGTTCATAGCAGCACTCTCAAGAATAGCCAAAACATGGAAACTGAGCCTAAGTGTCCATCAACTCATGAATGGATCAAGAAGGTGTGGTTTATTTATACCATGGAATACTACATGGCAATGAGAAAGAATGAAATCTGGCCATGTATAGCAATGTGGATGGAACTTGAGGGTGTTATGCTGAGTGAAATAAGTCAGGCAGAGAAGGACATATACCATATGTTTGCACGTATAGGTGGATTAGGAGGAACTTAACGAGGACTGTGGGGGAGAAGACGGGGAAAAATAGTTGGGGAGAGGGAGGGACTTGAATGCTGAGAACAAACTGAAGACAATGGGGTGGGGGAGAGAGGAAGGGGGTTGATGGGCATGGAGGAGGGCACTTGTGGGGATGAGCACTGGATGTTATATGGGAACCAATCTGACAATAAACTATTAAAAAAAATAATAATCCTATGAAATACTCATTGTATTGTTCAGATCAGACTACACTATAGCTAGTTATAACTACACTATAACTAGGAGGAAGAAGGCCAGTAAAATACCAGAAATCATGGTAAAGAGCACAGGTTATAGAATTAGATCTAGATTTCAGTTCTGCCTCTAACTCTTAAGCCAGTTATTTAACCACTTATAATGTCCATTTTCTCATGTGCAGGATTGAGATAAATATACCAACTTTATAGAGCTGCAGGAATAAATGAGATTGTGCATATAAAGTGCATACAATATCTGGTACATACCTAGTAACTGCCACATAATAATAAAAATTGTTGTATCCTGAGTATTAATAACATTGGACCAGCGTGCTACATATAAGTTTCATCAAAGAACTATCCACATACTTAAATGAGTATTGTTTTATGACTGTTGTTAATAAGATGCTTTCTAGTTAAAAAAAAAACTATCCATGTTCTTTTATTGTAATACAATCTAACTGCATTTCAAATTGCCTAAATAAATATCTTTTTTTTTTTTTTTTTTTACAAATAGTTTATTGTCAATGCCTCAATAAGTATCTTGGCCTACGTTTTAAAATCTTTGGTTCTACAAAGATTTTTTCTTTTAAAGGTATTTATTATATAATTCAATTTATATATTATTCAGAAATAGTCCAATTTGAAGACTATACTTTCAGGGATCATTTCTATAGTTCGTTACTAGAGAAGCTTCTCTGAACATGTAGAGTAGTAGAAATAGTCTAATTTGTTAAATCTGACTATGGAATATTTTATTTTATTTAATTTTGAATATGGAATATTTTAAATGAGTAGTCTGAATAATTACTCATGGCTTGCCAAATATCTGCTACAAAATGATCAGTCCATAAATAAGATTATTTTAATACATGAATAAATTATATTCCTTATCTACTCTGATAGCATATATCCTGGAAAATGTCTATGATAAGAGTATTATTATTTTTTTTACTTTTTTTATGTTTATTTATTTTGAGAGAGAAAGAGAGCATGCATGCATGCATGTGGGAGAGGGGCAGAGAGAGAGAGGGAGAGAGATTATCCTAACCAGGCTCCATACTCAGTGCAGAGCCTGACGCAGAGCTTGATTCCACAACTGTGAGATCATGACCTGAGCTGCAATCAAGAGTTGGACACTTAATCGACTGAGCCACCCAGGCACCCCAATAAATGTACTGTTTTAACCAACAAACAAAAATGAAAAATGTAAAAGAACAATTTGTTTTTACCATACCTTAGCTGTTTCCTTACTGCATACACTTGTTCTATTCCTTGTGACACTAATTCTTGAATCTTATGTGCTACTTGAGGATGGAGACGTGAGGGTAATGCACAATTTTCATCCCTAATTGCAGTTTCCTCTTCTTCAAGAGAAGACACAGGGAAAGGGGAAGGTGACAAAGGAAGGCAGGAAGTCTCTAACTCGTGATACTGATGAGCTTGTTTTGTAGGTAACTGTACATACCACCTGAGAAGTGGAAATATTTAAAATTATGCTATTAAACAAAGGCACAAATCATACTTATGTTAAAACTCATCAAGAAAAGGAATAATCTTTTGATTATATAATCTCATATTAAATAAATATAATTAGCAATTTTAAAATAATAAAATTTAAAATGTCTTCTGCTTGACTCTTCTAAGTTGATGCTATACTCAATTAAATCAAAATATTTATAAACCTTTATAGACTTTTACTATGGCCCTCAAGTTAAGGAGGGGCACAGTAGTTTAATATATATGAAAATGGTATTTTAATATATATGAAAATGTTAAGTAAATTTTACCTCAAAATAATGAGACTTTTAAAGTCATCATCTTTTATTTATTTGTGTATTTAGTGTGTATTTATTTTGAGAAAGAGAGAACAAGCAAGGGAGGGGCAGAGAGAGAGGGGGAAAGCAGATCCAAAGTGCTGTCAGCACAGAGCCCAATGTGGGACTCAAACTCAAAAACTGCAAGACCATGACCTGAGCCAAAGTCAGACACTAACTGAGCCAACCAGGCACCCCTAAACTTTAAATTGTGTATTTTCCCATTCTCCTATGATTTTGTCCCTAAATTATAACTTCTGTGTTCCACCTATAATCCTTCCAAAGAGTGGTTATAATACAGGGCCTACTAAGACTGCACTGAGTGGGAGATTCTTCTCTGACAGGAGCTTAGCAAACTGCCTCTACAGCACTCCATCTCCAATTGCCCCAAAGAGCAAGAGAATCAACTAGAAGATGAATACAGGTCTTTCATATATCAGTTCAGTGCCCAAAAAACAGATGCTAGGAAACTGAAATGATCTGGTAGGATACTGTTTTAATTGATACTTTTGTATAAAGTGCTTGCAATGATTGATACCTCATGAAATGGAGCCTACTTAAAAATTATATGCAATGTTCTCTAACCTGGATGATCTAATTATTGACTACTTATTTTCTATACACCTGAAAGTTTTTCTAAAGTTCACACAAAAACTATATTCTGTGCACTTAATCTCCTTGCATTATTATAAATTCTTCACCTAGACTGAATATGAAGGAAAGAAAGCTAATATTTCTTCTTACATAAAAACTGAATCACAAAAAACATAAAATGGAATTTTATGTAGGGCTTAGAATTAATTTCTGGTTGTTATAGGTAATTAAGATGGGTAAAAAATATACATATACAGGTGACTGCAAGTTCAGTTCCAATGAAGTGTCAGAAACAAAGTATGAAATAACAATGATATGTGTTATTAAACCTGTATTTGTCATTTTGGGGGAAAACTTCCATATGGTACATGGAATTCTTTGGTCAGCATTATTCAAACATTTGGCTGATAAACTCAATGGCTTATACAGCAACAAACTTTTATTTTTTTTTTAATGTTTTTGATTTACTTCAGAGAGAGAGAGAGAGAGAGAGAGAGAGAGCGTGAACAGGGGAGGATCAGAGAGAGAGGGAGACACAGAATCCAAAACAGACTCCAGGCTCTGAGCTAGCTGTCAGCACAGAGGCCGACATGGGGCTCGAATCCACGAGCAGTGAGATCATGACCTGAGCCGAAGTCAGCCGCTTAACCGACTGAGCCACCCAGGCGCCCCAACAAACTGTTTTAATACCAAGGAAATCACTAGTGCAACATCTTCCTTATAAAAACCTTTTCTTAATGAAATAATTAGAAAACATAATTATAGATCCTCTTGTAGAAAAATTCTTGTAAATGGAGCTAATTAATTTGTAAAATAAAAGAATGATATAAATATCATACCTAAGAACACCACCAGCATCTACCAAGTTCTTCTTTAGCATGTTAAAGGCTTTTTCCTGCTCCATTCGGATTATTTTCTTGTCAATTTTGGGGTCTGTAGGAACTCTGTATTCAGGAAACTTCTGTACCTTTTTAATGTAAATCCTTTTTATAAGAAAAAGAATTTGTTTCATTATATTATAATCTTAAAATAATCTTATCAAGCAAAAGTTTAAGCATTAAAGTTTTTTGAGAAATTAAATTAGAAAGCATTCAGAGAATTATGTTGAAAAGTAAGCCATATTTCCGTATGTAATACTTAGTAAATTAGCAATACTCATGATGTCAGTAAAGTATCTGAATATTTATGGATATTAACTTTTGTTTCTGGATTTGCCTCTTCTCAATTCTCCTGGAAGCCATAAAAAACTCATGCCGGGGAGTTCCAGCAGGGTGCTGGAAGAAGAGGGAGAGGCTGGGTGGTAGCAGCAGCAGTAGCTGGAGGATGAAGAAGGGGCATGTGCTGCACTGTCATTTCTCTGCATGGTATCCACTGTTCTGAAGCCTTACCATCAAGTGTGTCATTCTTCCACTTCCTCAGAATGTGAAGGATTATTGGCTCCATCATGGAATTCTGGTGGTTTCAGGAAGGGAAAATTCGCCAACAGGTTCTCAGCCAGTGATGATGAGGCAGAAGAAATGTAGAAAAGCATAGAACATGGCTATGCTTATGGCACCAGAATTTCCCAAGTTTACTATTAAAGTTCAAGAAGCTATCGATTCCCTGTGGTGGGGGCGCGGTAGAGTGAGGTGGGGTGGGGGTAGAGGCAGTGTATTTCCTCAGCTTAACTGGAGTGCCCCAAGGGATGCAAACTTGATAGCAATGAACAGTTCTCTGAAATGTGAAACCTCAATGACAACTTTCCATTGTTCAGGAGTTCTGATTTCATCACTCACGACTTCACTCAACCATTTATGCATTGTACTAATGATTCTCCAGATCCTCGTTCAAGAGGAACTTGTTCTCCAACAGTGGTGTGAATTATTTTCTGGGGCAAAAGTTCTTATGTTTTGTTAAGGAAAACAAGCCTACTGGTATTTCTCAAAGGGACTATACACAATACTATGATCATGTTTCTAAACAAAAGGAAAAGATTTGCAGATGAATACAAGAATTTTCAAGAAATACAATATAAATTCTTAAAGGAAGACTTTATGTTGGATATATGTGGAGATAGTAGTGGGAAAGTGTGGCTGACTGATTTGAATTCATTTGAAGTAACTGATTCACAGCTGTTTACTTGGAAAGAGCTGATAACTGGGAGAAACTTAAAAGGTGATTTTAGTGAAGGAGATGCCCTGAAACAAGATTCTCCAGCTTTCAGCTGCACACAGTGAAGTAATAGTTCAACCCAGTCCCTATCTGAGTAACCAACTTCCGAAGAATTTTGTAGACCTGAACACTGCAGAGAATGCTCACAAACTCATAGATTTTCTTAAACTGAAAAGAAATCAGCAAAAGGATGACTGATTAGAGCGCCAGAGTTCAAGTCTGAGGTTAAAGAAGAAACCACCTGGGACACCTGGGTGGCTCAGTCAGTTGGGCGTCTGACTTTGGCTCAGGTCATGATCTCACAGTTGAGGGTTTGAGCCCCATGTCAGGGTCTATGCTGAGAGCTCAGGGCCTGGAGCCTGCTTCAGATTCTGTGTATCTCTCTTTCTCTGCCCCTCCCCAGCACACGCTCTGTCTCTCTCAAAAATAAACAAATATAAACTTAAAAAAAAAAAAGAGGAAACCACGTTGGCATCAATAGGCTGCTTTTAGCTCACAACCTCCTCTTATCCCTTCTGTCAGGGTGAGAGGCAGGGTAAAATTAACAGCTACTTATATCCATGTATATTAAGCTAGAAACAAACACGAAGGGACTTTGCTACTTGTAAAAATAAATAATAAATAGATCTTAAACATAAAAATAAAACAAAAACTCATGCCTGGATTATTTTAATAGCCTCCTTCTGGGCCTCTGAGCCTTGTTCCTTAAACCCACTTGATATATCAATGCTATAATAATTGTTCACGTTTGTAGTTCTCTGTTGAAGAATTTATCTGCTCTTTAATCAAGTACAAATATCTTGGCAGCATTCAAGGCCTTCCATATGACTCTAGCCTTATTTACTAATCTTACTTTCAAGTACTTCAAATGTAAAATTACTTTTTCCATGAAGTTTATCATTTCAATGTTCCTTCTCCTCTGATACCAAAAATATAATTACACCATATCTTTATTTATAGAATTCTCCTACTCTATAATATCTTCCCTCTAATTCTCTACCTACCCAAATTCAATCTGAACTTCAGTATCCAGGTTAGGTTGTATTTTGTTTCCTGCTAATGAGTTTGCATGGATATATTTCTTCTCTGATGAGTTAGCTAGTTGACACATTTGGTACTATATACTATACTATTATATTCTCCAACAGTTTTTTTTTAATATTTTTAAATTTATTTTCTATTTAGTTTTTCTTTATTTATTGTCGAGAGAGAGAGACAGAGTGTAACCGGGGGAGAGGCAGAGAGAAAGGGAGACACAGAATGCAAAGCAGGCTCCAGGCTCTGAGCTGTCAGCACAGAGCCTGATGTGGGGCTCGAACTCACAAGCTGTGAGATCTTGACCTGAGCCGAAGCCAGATGCCCAACTGCCCAACCAACTGAGCCCCTTAGGCGCCCTAACAATTTGTTTTTTTTTTAATGTTTGTTTATTTTTGAGAGAGGGACAGACTGTGAATGGGGAAGGGGCAGAGAGAGAGGGAGAGATAGAATCTAAAACAGGCTGCGGGCTCCAGTCTCTGAGCTGTCAGCACAAAGTCCAACACGGAGCTAGAACTCACAAAACGAGATATTGTGACCTGAGTCGAAGTCGGATGCTTAACTGAGTGAGCCACTCATGTGCCTGCCAACAGTTTTGTGTTTCCTGATGTACCCCAACAATATTTTAACTTTCCTCAAGATTAAGTGAAATCTGTGACTCTTTCAGTCTCCTTCCTTCCCAGTGTATTGCTGGGCATGGAGTTGATACTAAACAAGTACTTGTAGAATGACAGAGAACAAAATTATTTCTTCACACACAGAGATTTTCTCCTAAGTTATACCTGAAATTTCATATTGCTTATATTTAAAAGCAGTTGAAAGTTTTGCTTCACAGTCAGGTTTAAATATTGCCTAAAGTTAACACTATCAGATTAAACATGAAAAGTCTTCTGAACTGGCTTTAAAGATTTCTTGAGAATGTGGATTTTGTGTATCAGATGTGATAATGAAATAAAATGTTCCAAAGATCAACTAAACCCAATTTTGTATGTTATCTTTTAAAAATTTATTTTATTTGATAATTTAAAATTTTCAATGTCTGAAAAAGGAATATTAGAAAAGAACATTATAAACATCTTTTATTGCTTCAAACTTTTCATTCTCACCCAGAGCGATGGCCAATCTGTAGTCCTATTCTATTTAAAATGTACTGTGTTGATCTCGTACATTACTGGTATGAATGTTAATTGGTAAAATTTCTCTAAAGAACAACTTTCTTTACAATACCTGTCAACATTTAAAAGAATATAACCTTGGGGAGAGGGCAAGATGGCGGAGAAGTAAGGAGCTCCGTACTTGCACTCGCGCCCATACATCACACAGAAAAGATCTGAAGCCATTGGAAACCTTACAAAACCTGAGAGATTGGGAGGAAAAAGACGCAGAATCCACTGAGAGAGCCTTCTAACGTGAGTGCGAACCGGGGAAGATAAAATCGGGC